AATGTTCACTAAAAGGGATCAATGAGAACAAAGTGCAAGTATATATATGACGGGATTTTCAAACACACACACTAATAACTATTTCTTTGATGTCTAACATTTTTCTTTCTCATCCATCCGATGCCAGTCAAGCAATCCCAGTGTAAAAGTTCGTGTTAGCATGTTGTAGGTTGTCTTATTAAAATATCTAAACCGGCAAAAAATTGGAAACACGAGTCTGAGTGGTGATTGTATTAAGACAATCTATATCATAGACTGATTGACTCGTTCCCAATCATAAAGAACCTGATACATACAGAATGTTCGGCCCCACAAACATGGGTGGATTGAAGTATAGTATGCCAGTCAGAGTATAAGCATTAAGAAATGTATAATGTAGGATAGTTGTGTTACCAAAGTAGGCGGAAATGTATAGAAGTATATGAGTTGTAGATAAGGTAACGAGTGGAGAAATAGTATTAATGGCAAGTCAACATAGTGTACTGGGGAGTTAAAAGCTGATAAAGAATAAACAAGGAGGATCTCACGCTAACTTGGTGCTGATGTTGTTAATATATGAAGCCTACTCAAGACCCTATGATACCCGAAAAAAATAGTAAAAAAAACGAAAGGGGATCTAATAGCTTCGATAAAAAAGGAAAATAGCCAATTGTATATCACATTAATGTTTCCAGCACTATATTTTATTTTATAACCACACATAACCCCATACTCTCAGCTCCTTTCTGAATCGCCTCCATTTGTCAGTTGTATTTACACTCATACCTTGTTAACACTCATTTTCTTTAACCTATTAAGATGCTCTTTCTTAATAAATACCTTAATAAACGAAAATTAGACTGAGTAATCATACCTTGAACATTCCTTCATGAATATTGGCTACTCTGCCTCTAGTCCTTTCTTTTACTTGCTCCCTCTTTCAGCCCCCTTGTGATATGGTACGAAAGATTTCATCCTGCATCATCCTCAAAGCCTTAGACATTCCAAAAGGACATAAGGTTGCGACATTTAGAAGCTCCCACTTTCAATAGACCTATCGTTGACCATCAGTCGCACATTTGAAATACTACTTTCATGAAGCGCGCTAACTGTGGTACTGATTAAAACCATCTACATTCATATCGTATAAATTATCGACCCAGCTATGTAATTTACTACAGTGGATATTGTATCATTTGTATCAATATGATCTTGCCTGTAAACTGGCATGCCTCATGTAACAAACTGTTATTTGAGATAAATTATTATTATTTGTGCTGTCATAACCAGTTGGTGGGTAACAAACTCCATAGATGCAGGACCACTGGTAGTAGGCAGTCGATTGTGCGGTTCTCTTGACTTTTTAGGGTAGTAGTAGTGTGCGTCTCCTAGAGACCCAGTATCGATAGGTCCAGTGAGTTACCTGTCTACTTCCAGTTAAAAAGCGATGGGGGATAAAGTATCTAATACAACTACTGAGTAGGAAAATAGGGCGAATCGGCCACTACATGTAGAGAGATTGGGATGTCTGAGTGTGGCGCGGATGCATTCGTTTGCGTTAGATCTGTCCAAGAGAGGACATGATCAATAAGTCTTACTAACTCAGGTAAGTCATCTGTCATGCTATTTCAGAAGGAAAACTGTTCCATATTAATGCATTCTTAATGAGGGAGAAAATTTTCTTGATATTTCGATCTATATTTCTCAACTTTGACCGTGGATACTTCATTTCAAAGGTCGTATTCATGTAAGACACACATGAATATTACATGTGTAATAAGTAATGTTTTTGAGTAGTTTGAGATAGAGAGTCGAATTGGACCTTAGCCATCTTTACAAAAGTGGTTCTAGTTCTAAGATTTGGCATCGGGAGCTGTATTCTATGAGTGAGTCGTTCTTAAGTATTCTATGAGTAAAATCCTGTTGTATTCATTCCGCCTTAAGTATAGCGGATAGGCATGGATTGGAAACAAGAACGAGCAGTATTCAGCGATAGGTCTCACACAAACCATATAAAGAATGATTTCACATTTTATATATATTTGGGTTATGTTAATGATCCTTCCGCAGGTTCACCTACGGAAACCTTGTTACGACTTTTACTTCCTCTAAATAGTCAAATTAGGTCATCTTCTCAGCATCAGTCGAGCGGCAACGCCACTACAACGACACCAATCCAACGACCTCACTAAACCATTCAATCGGTAGTAGCGACGGACGGTGTGTATTTTGAAAGAAATTACGGAGAATAAATCCAAGCAATTTCCGCATTTTTATTCTTTAGTTGAGACATGTTCAGAGAAATTAATGCTGTGTGAGTCACGAACTTATGGTATTGATGCTGATTTATCATGCAAAATACCTTAATAAATCGTGCTTAGAACGTTGAATTGGTTTCACTTTCTACACAGTAATACTATTACAAGCGAAGTAGACAGTTTGCTAAGATAATAAGGCTCTAATAGCTTCGACAAAAACAGGAGACTGTCAATTGTACATCATAATACTGTTATTGGCATTATATTTTATAAGTGCGCATAATCCCATACTCTCAGCTCCTTTCTGAACCACCTCTGCTTGTCACCTGTTTAATCCACTCATACATTGTTCACACTTATTTTCTTTAACCAATTAGAATGCTCTCGCTTAATTACTACATCAATAAAAGAGAATTAGACTGAGTAGTCTTACCTTAAACGTTCCTTCATGAACATTGTCTGGCGTCCTTTCTTTTACTTGATCCCTTTTTCAGCTCCCTTGAGATATGGAACGGGTGACTTCATCCTGCACCATCCTTAAAGTTTCAGATATTCCGAATGGATATAAGGTTGCGATTTCTAGAAGCTCCCACCTTTAATGGATCTATTCTCGACCATCAGCTGCACGTCGCCTACGAAATATATCTTTGAACCTTCTCGCTTCTGACATTTGATTTCACCAGGTGGGTACGATTCATAATAGGTGTTACTGGTTAAAGGGTTGTCAAACTCCAAATAATTATTGCGTCTTTAAGACATACTGAATCTCTGAGGTCATTTGCAATCTTTGTCACGGGAAAAAAACTATGAGTGTCTTTAATTTATTCATCACTGAGAACGTTGAAACCGTTGTTTCAGAAGCTCCTGTGGCAGATTCAGAAACAACATTTTCTGGTTTCTGAAACTTCATAAATGTGTATGTAGTATTACTTTCAGACATGAACTTCACGTATTTGTGTAGTTCTGGTCTAAGTCGGCATTAGTATACTTATCTACGTTACCAGAATGATAGAGCTGTTTCAAAATTTTTTACTTTCCATGATGTGACTGCCTAATCAGTCAGACCTCACGTGAAAGTTACACCACTATCTATACCAACTTGTCATTTCATGACAGTCAGTGGTTGCTGCTAAGGATTTCTACAGAATACATTTGTGGTGAAAAAATAGCATATTTAGTATGAAAAAAGAGAGGTTTCACAACCACGACCGAATAGTTCAGCCATGCTCTTTTGATTACTCTTTTGGCATAAAATTAAAGAACCTAGGACAGAACATTGCTCCACTCCACTGAAAACTGGTGGAACACTTCGAATTTACATTTACTTTCTATCTACGACATACTAAGAGATCCATAAGCAATTTTAAAAGAAGTCCAGCAATGCCGAGATCTTACAGCATCAATAGCAGTCTATTTGTTGGCACCTTGTCAATCGCTTTGCTGAAGTCTATGAAGACAACATTCACTGGTTTTCCATTGTTTTGAGCATTGATTCATTGTTCCTCTGCTACAGAGAGATGTGTATTGCAAGGCGAACCTTTTCTGAATCCATGTTGTTTACTGTTTAACAAGTTGTTGGCTTCTGCGGACATCATAACGGTCTTTTTGACTATTATTCCCAGTATTATAACTACCTTGGTCAATCGACATGTTGAATATCAAAATCAGTGGGACTGCAATATACTGTGCGATAATTCTCAGGATTTTGTGGTGTAGTCCATCCGGTCCTGTTGACGTTACCGTATCTATGGTGCTAACAGCCTTAGATACATTGTCTTGAACAAAGTTGACGGTGTGCAGACAGTTTGCTGACTTTGTATCTAGGTCTAGTGAAAACTGCCCCAAAATATTTTGTCATAGCCTCTGGATTTTTCTAATCATCCTCTATCGCTTCAGATCCATTCTCTTCCTTAGTTAGGTTGGAAACCAGTGCTGCATCCTTGTTCTGTAATTTAAGTACGAGAATAGTCTCCTTAACTGCTTGATTGCAGGTTGTGCTAACTGCAATTCATATTTTCTCAGAGCTCCCCTGATTTTAACTACACACTTATTTCTTATTGTCCTGTAGCGTTCCATAGTATTTGCTGTGCCAAGGCTGATGGCAACGTTCCAGCATTTCTGCTTTTGTCTTGGTGAACTTCGAATATCCCGGTCTATCCTGTTCTTTGGGACTGTCCAGGGTTTATACGGTCGAGTTCCCCGTTTGTATAACTGTCTGAAATGAGTCCATACCTCTTTCACTAATGCCCATTAGTCAATTACCCAGTTTTCAGCCGATGCTGTAGAGTTTACCGCTTCCATGTCTGCCTCCCATATGTTAGGACGGACCGGCGCAACTGTTTGACAGGCCATCTCAGCCATGAACTTGAATAAAATGGCTGCATGATCGCTTCTCTTTAGGGGTGGTAGGAAAGTCATTTGACCGACATCATCACCGTGTGTGAAGACTAAGTCCAAGAGAGACAAGAAGCTTCGCGATTCATATCTAGTGGAACTCCAGTATGCTATATAAAAGCTAGTGCGATTGTGGTTTCTAACAGTTTGCAATCAAATGACGTTGTTGTTGAACCTGTTTCTATGTTAGCTTTGCAGGTACTAACGAAGTTGACTCTGAGTAATGCTTAAAGATCGCCAGTATAATTACCTCGATTGTTTGACCATCTATTTATTTCAACAATCGAATTTCTAGGATTATTCGGTTCGGATTTTGCAAGTGACTCAATTTGTTCTTTGAAGCTTCTAATTGTTTAAACTGCCGACGAAGTCTTTACAAAGTATTTATAACATATCGTGCGCATTTGATGCTGCAATTGAGATCAATAAGAGTCTCTCTTCGTTCTGATTGTCAGTTTCTTGTAAGCTACCTGATTAAAAGTTTCATTGGGTTCTTAATGTATGTCTGTCATTTTTCATTCGGGAATTCGAAACGGTCTTGATAACCAAACTGTGTAAAATTTCCATGATTGAAAAATAGTGATCTGAAGCTCATTTTACCTGTCGATGTAAATCATCACTAGAAGTTTCAGAACTTTGCATTTGATGCATCAACCTTGTAAAATTTCTGAAACGATCTTTCACTTCACTTGAAAAAGCTTGCAAAATTTCAGGTCATTTAGAAGCTAACCAATCTTCATTGAGGTATGCAATGTTTGTATTTGAAAATAATATAGTAGTAGACTAACCAAATGCCCATACTCGACGATATGCAGTAAAGACTTCTGGTTTCATTGAGTTTTTAATATTTGTCTGTCATTTTTCATTCGGGAATTCAAAACGGTCTTGACCACCAAACTATGTATGAAATTTCTATTTGGTTGTGCTGAAAGGTTCATAATTATTTGACGAACTGAGTGTTTTGAGACTTGGGTCGACTTATTGAAAATCCAGAACAACAAAATACGCCTTTTAGTCGAGAGATATTTTCGACAACCATGATCCCGAAATTGTTTGGCAAAATGTTTGTCGAGATAAAAATATATCAAATATATATTGATAGAACTGTTTTATTTCGAAAAATATAGTCAGCCCAAACTTAGCAGTATTTCCTCACCTTTTGTATTGGAGAATTGTACAAACGTTAGTGTAACTAACTGAATTAAAAGAGCAGTTGTCCTTGGGAAAACCACCAATTTGTCTAAACTGAGATCTCTTGAGGTAATTTGATTGTATTACAGACCACATGTAGCCTTTCATTCATATTCTTTCCGAATGTCAAAGTTTATGACTGAAGATATCATGGCTGAACATTTGAACCTAAGTATTTGGCTTAATTTTTACTGACTTGATGTCATAATACCCCTATCGTCTTCGATTTCATCTCACTTGTGTGGTTGGATTGTTCAAAATCAAGGTGGAAATAGTTTACACTTTTTGATGAATTCTTGTGATTTTAAAACTAATCCCATCTTACTTTGTGAAAGTTAAATCTCTGGAAGCCATACGATTGAAGTCAGACATATTCTATAACATGCGTCATTTTATTTAAAGTCGTTTGGTTACTTTGTACTACTGGAAATGCAAATTATAATGTATTTTATATTGTAGTGGCATGGCAGAAAACAAGAAGATGGATGATGACGATGTCGTAGATAAACCAGATGATATAAAACTGAAGCGATCTATTGGTATTGTAACCAGTATCACCATCTTAGTAGGATCAATGATTGGCTCAGGAATATTCGTCAGTCCTACTGGTATTCTGTGGAACGTTAGAAGCATAGGAGCTACTCTTATTATATGGGTTGCATGTGGGATCTTCAGTATGCTCGGAGCGTACTGTTATGCAGAACTTGGCACGATAATAGAGCGATCCGGAGGGGATTACATTTATGTATATGAAGCATTTGGACCATTTATTGGATTTTTGCGTTTATGGATGGAAGTAATGGTTGTGAAACCTGCAACTGTCGCTATTGTGGCTTTAGCATTTGGAGAGTATGTTGTTGTACCTTTGTATCCAAACTGTCCGCTTCCCATTATGTTGGTCAGGATTTTGGCAGTTTTATGTATTAGTATGTTTAAAAATATTTCCCTACAGCGCTTTTTCCATTTTATTTATTAAGATGTGCTCGAATATATACTCAGCCAACGTTAACTCTTATGCACTCTTATGGATAAAATGCACTGTTTGTATTTCTGATAAGCGAAGAATGAAGGCAGTTGTTAAGATGAAGATACTTGAAACAGGTCCCCATAAAATGCGGTTTTATTACATAAAAATGATAAACACTTCTGGGTGAGAGTATAACAGTGCTGATAAACACAAAGCACTGGTTATTAGCTACTTCGTTCCTTGAAATGGATGACCTGAATCATTACATCAAAATTCGTTTATTCTTTGAATTTGAATAGAGTATAATAACATTTGAGAAAAATACCATAAACCCTGATTGTTTTCGACATTCTCGCCAAAGGTGTATGGTCTGTAGGGCATTTAACGCAAAACATGTACGACAGAATTATGATGAATGAGATTAATGGTGGACTAAAACCAGTGAAATTTAATAAGGGTTGTTTGAGTGATTAATGATAAGTGAAAAAAGTGTCAAAATGCGAATAAACGAAATACGGATCAGGAAGTTGCAAACTAATGGAAGTTGAATAATGAATTCTGAGTGAATAAATGAAAACTAAGAAGTGTCAACTTCTGGTGACTGTGTGCCTTCAATCGTAAATTATACTTTTGACAGATTTGCAAAATGACAACGATTTATTCCTAAATAATACCAGATGAATTCAAATGTATTACATCAGTAAACATTCTGTTATTGTTGGCACTTTAAATATTTTGATTAGTTGGCTTATAGATCTCAATACTACTGGTAGTTACCAATTTGTAACTTCAGTAAACTGTTCGGAATAAATGTTACATTCTAGTCATTGTTTACATAATAAACGGTTCGTTCATTATATAATGACTTGTCAAAGTATCAGTGGAATCGATAGGCTACTGAAGAAGTTCACTTAAAAGAAGGTTGCAAAGTTTGCTATTTTTACTACTACTGATAATTTTTCATTTAAAAATGTTTAAAACGATCACACTGATGATATTTTAAAGGAAATTTCCCAATTTATTGTCATCTTGTTCCATTTTGCTTAGCATTTTTAAGCTTTGCCAATTCCTTTTCAATCAAATTTTCAACCAGAATACAAGATATATTTACATTTGCGAAACTTGCCGCTCTTACAATGATCATTATAACCGGATTTGTACAGATTGGATTTGGTAAATTAATTATACTATTCTTTAAAATCCTTTTAATTAATTTTTGTTATCTATAATAATCACAGTCGGTTTTGTTTTGTGACTTTTGTTGAACTATGAGTGGTTCAATCTTGACATGAAAATTTTATTAATGTGCATCATTCAAGAGTTTCTCATTTCAGATGAAGTAGTTGTTTATTCTAAACTAAATGTCAACAAGTGTGTTAAATTAGTCTAAAATAAAGATGATATTTTGTATAAAAGTTTCCCAAGAATAAAACTGTACGACTGTATGTGATGAAACCCACTTTGATAAGTTTAAAAATACGCAGTATTCGCTATCAAGCTTGAAAAAATAATCTTCCCTGTCTTTTCTCAAGAATACGCATAATAAATTAATTGATTGAATATGTCTTACATTAAACGTTGTTTCAAAGCAACAACCTTTGAACATTTCATTTCTGTTATCGCTCTTTGATTATATGACTTTTCTAATAACATGTCAGACTACTTTTATCTTTTCAAAGATTTCGATCTGGATAAGGTGATTCTTCAATAAATTATGGATGAGCAAAATGATCCTTCGTCCTACTTACGTCTGTTATAACTCGTGGAGCCACTGATTTATAATCTCTATGTATTTTTGATTGTAATTACTGTTTATGCCATGATATATTTATTTATTAAATTCATTTAGATATCTTGCACTGTACTTTATTGCTTAACTTCTTTTAGGTCGTTATGAAGAGCTGAAAGAACCTTTCGTCGATTCGGACTGGAGTCCTGGTAAAATAGCTAATGCATTTTACAGTGGTTTATTTGCTTATGGTGGCTGGAATAACTTAAATTGTATGGTTGAAGAAATGAAGAACCCCAAGAAACATTTGCCCATAGCAATTGTGGTATCGTGCTTGCTAGTGACCCTATTTTACACAGCTGCTAATATGGCTTATGTGACAGTCGTACCAGTTGCAGAGATGTTGACCACAAGAGCTGTGGCTGTGGTAGGTAGAATAGTATTTTTACTGGTGTATAGATGCTTTTAATCAATTTTTCTATAAGCCGAGAATATTACTAATGTCGTCTCGCCGTTCACGATCACACCATCTTGGACAGTTTAATACTTTATTTTAGTTATTGTCTCGTGCAATACAATCGGGGTTTGTAGAGGTGCCTATTTAACAGACGTGATCGTATTTGTACAAATGACGCCATTGATGATGATATTAGGTTACTAAATAAAACAATAATGGAAACTGGGTATCCCCTGAAATTCATAAATAGATAGAAAGTTCATGGTACAGTGAGTCCTACTATAGCTTTGGCAGGAGAAATACCTGTCTACATCGCCTTACCATTTAGAGGTGATTCAAATGGTTATTTTTTATTGAAACAAAGACTTAAATCAGTCATTAACAAGACATATTATGCAGCGAATGTCATTACCAAGAAAACAAAAAGGTTCATGCCTCATCAAAAACCTAGAAGTCACACGCCACTGTGTTTACCAATTTAAATGTGTTTGTGATCGCACACAAACATAAGAAGTAGTAATCGTGATCTCAAAATAAGGGTGTGTGAAAGTGTACCTAAGTGGCCGGAGAAACAAATAGAATCAAATGACCCAATAAGAATAGAGGATAAATATCCATCATCCCTTATTTCCAAACTCATAATTGAAACAAGTCATGAGATTGATTTTAACTCGGCTTTTGTGGTGTTGTACAAAGTGCAAATGGGTAAATACTAAGGTTTATTGAAGCCTTAGCTATACGAAAATTCAAATCCCCTCTGTGTATTCAAATACAGTTTGTTCTCACCATAAACTTACCCTGGTAATATTAACTTATCATCCAGAGTGATGAGGTTTCAAATTGTTTTCACATTATTCCGTTATTATCCCTTATTTCCTCTTACCCTCCATTTCTAGTCTAGTTGACTTTTATTTTTATATACAAATGTTTTTGATAAGTACATGTGATCAGATTGTTCGAAAAGTTTTGCGTTAATATATCACATCGTTCTGATACTCTTCGGCTTCTTATTACACTGTCGAAATGACTGAATAAGTTGGATTTACTTTGAAACCATTTTTTCCGTTCACTAACAAAAACAGACATTTGCTAATAAAATATACGGAATGGTTTGGTGGATAATGCCAATATTTGTTGCTTGTTCAACGTTTGGGAGTGCTAACGGAACTATATTAACCACATCGAGAATATTTGTTGCCGCTAGTCAGCTCAAACAAATGCCAGCGTTTATCAGTTACTTGCACACGGATCGATTAACACCTATTCCGGCTGTTCTGTTCACTGTGAGTTCCTTGCATAACACTACTTTTGTCGAACATATATATATATATATATATATATATATATATATATATATATATATATATATATATATATATATATATATATATATATATATAATAAAAAGTATTTGCATCTTTACAAATCAGTTGGTATGTCTTAAATGTGAACATTTGATGTCTAATTTGGAACAATGTCAAATATGTTTGAACTAGTTGTAGGATGACATTGAATGATAATAAGTTTGAAATGGTAATTAGATTGTGGGTCCCTTTGTTAATAATGGCTTTGTAGTAATTGAAACATATCAAGACCATTGATTTTCATTCTACAGTTATCAAGAAGACTATGAGTGAAAACATGGTTTAGACAAACTTTAATTGATGAAGATGAAATACATGTTTGAAAAGAGACATGAAACCTTTGAAAATTAACTTCAAATTTACATGATAGATTGACCCAAATCTTTATTTCCAATCATGTAATTGTGTATAAGTTTAAACGTCTTAACTGATGAGGAGTTTTAAAATAAAGTGGTGAAATCATTTTAAACTTTAAATCTTACTGTTCCCGATCTGTTCAGAATTCAACTAAATAAGTATTGGTGGCTTTATTTAATATTATGTTTTCGGTACATTACAGAAATCTCAGCACGAAGTATCTTAACAAGTTTCCCTTTCTTATTTCTTGATCGGCCGTTGTGATAAATGTTGAGTAGTTGCCAGTCATATGTTAGAAGTTCAGGACACGACATGTGAATAATCTACATTGTTTTCGATGCATATTGCTAGCAACCACGATGTCTCTGATTGAGCTCTTTTGTAACTTGTACAGCGAAATGTGGTAAACGTTTGACAAACGTACCTGAATAGCTTATGTGACTAACAGGCATAATGATGTGTTACGACAAACAAGAAAACAGATAATTTGTTGAAATATACAGATGTCAGGAACAGGTGACCTGGATATTCAAGCAGGCCGCCTACTTGATTATCATTATAAATTGTGATTTTCATGAATTGCTATTGTTCAATGTATGTAATGTGAATCTATTGCTTATTTCTAACTGTTACTGATTACTTTTTTAGTGTATCATATCAATAATCTACTTGCTTGCTGGAGATATTTTCACACTTATGAATTATATGGGTTTTGTTCAATGGTTGGCAGTCGGTTTTTGTGTTCTGATTGTAGTAATTTTCAGATTTACTCATCCTAATATTCGACGTCCGGTTAAGGTAAATTAAAATTTCTGAAGCAGTTTCGCGATATTATTCCTAAAGCTTATATGATTATAATGGGGTAGTGGTTTTGTGGAAATTGTAGTAATTTAATAATTGAATTGATGAGTTGATTGAAGCTAGTACACGGTGAGAGTGGTGTAATTTCGTGGATTGGTTGAATTTAGGCATTAACATCATAGCATGCCTGCTCAGTGGCCTAAACGTTAAATGTTCACACGAGAGCGTTGAATTCTGCGTCGAGGATGCGCACGGCTGAGGAGTCCCATACTTGCATGAAATGATATTTCAGTGTTTCCAGGTTTTCCATGGTTCTCTAGCTGCAATGGACTCATGAATCTAATTATTACATTAATACACGATTGCATTGAATTGTTATTAATCAAGATTAGTTCTAGTTAACATTTCTTTTGGACTACTTTATTGAATTGTACAATGTCAGCATTGGATTGTTATGTAAGCTTTTGCGTCAATTTAGCACTGCATTATTACTTTTTCTATCCAACCATTAATCTTCTGTTGGAAGATTCGTTCTGTGCGGTGTTGAAATTAGACATTATTTTTATGAACTGATATAAAACTAAAAAAATCTTTTTAAAGCTGTTACGCTGATGAAAATTTTGAAGCAAGCTTTTAAAAATGCTTTCTACTAGTGATGTAGTGAACGAGAACACACGTGGGGACAGTCGAATGTAATTTAATGCAACATTACTGAACATCTTAGTAAAATCTGAGAACCATACAATGAATACTTCATTTGCAAAATGTCAATCAATCGCCATATACTTCATCGTTCCTGCATTTCCTTACCAATCGCTTTCTATTCCCGTTCTCTCCACCTTGACCTTCAGCTGTCAGACATTCTATCCCTGACTTGAGTTATATATTACTTATGTCGATATACGTAGCACACACTGCCCTTTCATTTAATTTAATATTTTCAGCTGTTACTAATACTACTACTATATCATAGAATTTTTATTTTTTCATTATCTATGTTTATTACAGGCTCCGATAATATTTGCCATTATCTACTTAGTAGTTACTGCATCTCTGTTAATTTTCTCTTTTTATGGATCACCTCAAGAATCATGTAGGTCATTTGTTATAAATTATGTTCTATAAATTCTTATGTTTACTTTCTAAATGTAGGAATAACAGTTCGTTATGTTATTCAACTATGAATGTGGAGATTAAATCTCAAACAACAAACTAAGCAGCCATAATCTCATAATTGACTACCTTCGAGTTGGTTGGTAAGTTGTGAGCTACTGAGTTGAAATGGCGAGAGACGAGACCATAACTTATCGATGACATTCGCGTAGAATCGTGGCATATAGCTAACGAAAACTAATCTTAGTAGAATAACCGAACTATACTTTTGCTATTCAGTGGTACAGAAACCGACATTTCTTCACAAGACCAAAATATCTCATGTATTCGATGTTATAGCTTGTTGTAGCCATTCATTGTTGAGATAGTTCAGAACTAAGAAAAATCTAGTTCAGTCTTCCTATGGTTCTTCTTGTCGGTCATTCATATGTCACTTTATGACTTAAATCATGATCGAAATTGAAGTTTTATGGAAAACTATTTGATGTGTGCTACTGAAAGATGAAGTAATCTTCTCATCATTTTAGTTAAATGGAACTGATTTCAGAAATGATTTATTTTCATAGTATAGCAATGATTACATCTCTCTAATGAATTTTCGATTGTCTTATCCCTTTATAGTATATGGTATTTTGATCATTTTAACCGGTATACCGGTTTACATACTCGGTTGTGCGTGGAGTCCTAAACCGAAATCATTTCAAGAGAAAATGAGTAAGTAATTTTGTCAAGTTACATTCCAAATCACATAATTTAAATATTTTCAAACGTGTTCGTTCTAACTGACCTATCAGTTGTTGGTTTGTTTAGTCAGTTTCGAGTTACACACTTGTTGTATCTGAGGATTAGAGACACTACCTGGTTTCGCAAACGTAAATAAATGTAACGGGTTTGCATATGCAATCTTATTCACCCATCTGTATGTTGGAGAAGTGGTTAATTATTATATTTGGTTTCAGGAGACCTATATCATCTCAGCTATTTAGAATTCTGCATAGCACAGCATTTCTGAGCATATTTCGAAGAACTTGACGCTGCGAGGGATTAAAGCTTTTAACAGTGCAATAGCTTGGCATCTACTTGACACCGGTCATACCGTCGATATTATGCGCGCGTTTAAAGTTATCAATAGACAAAGAACTACTACCACTCTCCGCTTTGCTGAAGCGATTGCGATTAAGAAACTGAAACCGGATTTATTCATTCAAAAAGAGACTTTAATAAACTTATCACTACCCTGGTAATCTTTTTGTTTCTGTTTTGTTTTGGTTATTTGGTTATTTTATTCAGTTACTTATTCTAAGATATTTTATACTCCCCTCCTATTACATAATTCTTAAACTAAAATTTTATTCACACATTTCCACCACCTGATCCTCTTAAATTATCTTAACTTTCCAAATTCCATTTAGTTATTATTACGTGATCTACCTTATCATTATTTAATTCCATTAATCTCTACAATTATCACACAATTTATGAACTTCACCAAATTATTACACCACCCACCCTGGATTACCCCCCCTCTTTTGACCTCTGACCTGTTTCTAGCATATATATGTATATATAGTTATTATTGTAATCCAGTTATTTACACTCATTTATGTCAATTGTTTCACACTATCTCCATGTAAAAAAATTCTATCACAATTTTGGTTTGTAAGCAGCTGACAAGAAACCTCGAAATAAAATGAATTCATACTATTCTGCATCAATGTTTGTTCTTGCTCTATTTAAACCATATGATGCAACTATGTAGATGCTCAAAACTCTTTTAACCCCATACAATTAGAAATACTTTAACATTTGAGTAATTGTCACTACTATACATTTTATGAATTTAATCAATTTGGACAACAATTAGTCAACATGCATACAATCACTTCTATGCCATCAACATTTGAGTTAAACGAAAAGAAATTATGAGGTTTGAGTTAGGTATAACGTTTGAATAATTCAGTCTTCTTATTACATCTTCAAATTTAAGTATTGATTTTTAATAATTGTTGCTATTTCAGGTATGTATACAAACATTTTATGTGTCAACTACTAATACACATGCCTTAATAAGCTCTAGCCAGTAGTTACTGGACTTCCATTTTCTTTACTGTGAAAATGTTTTTCAATTGTTATTAAACTAGAAAAGAGTTTTATTCTCAAGTCAAATGATAATATTCATGCTTTAAACGAATGACACATGATGTTTCTTATTAGGTCATCCATCGGTCAATCAATTGGTAATAATAAAATTTATCATAACAGTGGTAGTTAGGACAATAAGTTTCAATACAATAATCCAATAGTAAAATAATATGTCAGATGGGTATTTTTGTGGACATCGTACTAATTTTAGTAGTTGAAATCATGAGACCAATAGATCCTGAGTTCGAATCTCGCGAAGCGGAATCGTAGATATACACTGCTGAGGAGTCCAGCAATAGGACTAAACGGCCGTCTAGTGTTTCTAGGTTTTCCATGGTGGTCTATCTCCAATTGACTCATGGTCTTAACTCTTAAAACTACTATGATATCAACACAAAGCCCCTTCTGATATTATTCAACATATGCTCACTGGTGACTGGATTCAAGAGGTCTTTCCTGGAGTTATAGTGAGAATCAGTGACCAGTGGAGTTCAACCGGGTCTGTTGTGTGATAGTAATTCACTGAATACAATGGGGGATGTGTCGCTCAATTTCGTGGGTTAGTTGAAGTTAGAATAGTTTATAACAAGTCACAGGAATAGTTTTTAATGTAAATATCGATTGCTTTTAATGCATTACAAATGAAAAGAAATTGAATCTGTTATATCTAGTGCTCAGATTCTTAATATACCGCATATAGCTTGAGCACTGAAATGCTAGAACCTTCCAAGTTGCAAATAAGAAGACAGAAGAAGTCTTCAGAAAGTGTTTGTTGGACAAGAATCAAGATATACAGAAAATCATGGGTATTTACAGATGTTAGCATTTGTTAAATCAACCAGTCCGTAAAGAGGCGTGTTATGCTACTGACCAATAGTGTCATGCCACGTCGATGTTCTAGAAGGCTCCATTGCATTCTGATTGGATGGAACTCTTCGACTCCTTTAGTTCTCGGAAGCCGTCTCAACAAAATCTTCATATAACTTCCATTGATCTTGACAAGTTAATGTGTAATTGACCTGATGAAAACTATCATATGAGATAACATTATTCCAAAGTTGTTGAAATGACTTGATAATGATGATTTAACTAAAGAAAATTCCTTACGGATAGCTGAATTCAACTTCATCGAATCAGTTGCAGATTTTGTTGATATTCTCCATCTTCTTCTTTGTTTGTTCTCATTCAATCTTTTGTTTATTTTTCCAGTAAACATCACGATTGGATTACAAAAACTCTTCCGTATTGTACCATCCAGTTGAAGATGAAAGATAAAGCATAGGATTATTGTGTAATGTGAACATTGTTAAACAGTCATTTTGTTGTGCTACCCGAACACTCACTTATTGTATAAATTCACTGTATGCAAAAAGATAATGTAGCTGATTCATTAGTTTTCTTTTTTTTTATCGCCTTTTTTGTTAAATGCTACATTTACTTAACTAAAGTCAACGAAGCGATCAACGTTGATAACCGATGTCCGGTTGCTCTTCTTCTTGGACTGCATTATTTTTGTACATTTTATCTATTTGTGATTGAAATTCCCTCTTGACCATTCTATTCATTATTTTTTCATTTGAATTTTTATATTTTCAAAATTATTTTCCTAAAATTTTCTTGTGACTTGACTGGTAGTTACGTAATGGAGATTTTTGGGCATTACTAATTGACTACACGACCTACTTACTTACTTACGCCTGTTACTCCCAATGGAGCATAGGCTGCCGACCAATATACTACACAAAGTGTATATGATTTGATTCTGTATTTCTATCTCTCTTTCTCCCTCTTATTTCTCATGAGATTTAGATAAACAAAATATATGTAAATTGTATGCAAACAATTGGTTTTCTTTATTCAATCTATGATAATATGTATGATATTTGTAATGTCTGTGTTATTCTGTCCATGTTATATTTCAATTGAAATGAAGTTGTGAGAAAACACGTTTTCTTAAGCTATTATTAATGTAATCAACTGCAATTGTGATATTGCTCTAGTGTGTGTTGGAATAGTCAACTAAGAATGGTTTATGTTCAGGGTTTGATGCGTCAATTAACTTGAGGATTTAGTATATACTGTCTAAGACGTCAATGACCAAGTCGTTTGGAAAGTTCCAAAATTGAATGAAAAGTATATATATATATATATATATATATATATATATATATATATATATATATATATATATGTATATGTTACTCATTACAACTTGAAAGTCAGTCATAATATCCATTGAAAAATGTTTGATGAATTCGTTTGAAATACTGAAAATCCACATGTTCGAATTCATTAAGCTTGAACCTTCGATGATTTTATAGTCTGATTTGCATGACACCAATTGATCTATAAGGATCACTGTTAACAATATTGAACTTACCAATTATTTGTTTTGAACTGATTTAATGATCGTTTGAATAAGAGTAAAAGTATACTATTCACAAAGCCACCATGTATATGGTGTTACTACATTCAAAGATTAGTAATATCGATGACATTTTGTCAATTGTCATAGTGAAAGAAATGAGATTAATTAGAAATAAATTTTTCAAACACAGAAAACAATTTTATCATTAATCGTCAAAAATAACGGCATATTAAAAAGTTGGAAAAAGTGTTGGGACATGCATTGAAAAACAGAGTTCTCAACAAACTATAGATAAATCGAATACACTGAATATTAGTAAACTGATCGGTAATTTGTTTGATCGAAATCTGAGTGCCTATGAAATTTCATTTCTTTCTAATATAACAGTGAATGAATTGTGGAATAAAATAATGGTCACATTATTACATCAAAAATTACATAATTCCAATCTAACTAAAAATGAATTACATTCATTAAAACAGCTGAGAAATGATAAGAAAATTATCATTACGAGAATAAATGAATGGAACACGACAGTTACTATGAACAAATTGGACTGTGCGAAAAAAAACCCACGGAATATCTACAAGAGGGACTAATTAAAGAAACGAAAAGTAGGACCACGCCTAACAAACTTAAGGCTGAAACCAGTAAAATCTTATAGTCGATAAAGATTGAACTAGGACCGTCTTTATGTTTCATATTAAATTCAAAGAGTTTTAACCCTTGTAGATTCTATGGACTTCGAAACATTCACAAGAATATTACTGCACTAAGACAAATGGTTAATTTTAAAAATTTATCGACATACAATCTAGTGAATTATTTAGCTGGAATAATTAAACCGTATGACAAATAAATTAATCATGAAAAACTTTTGGTGGCACAAGATCTGACTCTAGTGAGATCGTTTCTGATTGCGATCGAAATATACATATCGTCATTCCTCGTATATAATTATCGACTTAAATCGCGCTAGTGAGTAACGGAATTAAATAAGTCAAATGCGAGAATGGATTTCCCAATACATATACTTTGTACAATCGTTAATCGTAATAGATAATCAGAGAGACGTAGCGAAGGAAGTGAAGAAAAGAGAGCGAAATGACACGCAGTGGAGATGGCGTTTAGGCCAACTTCATTTAGTCAACCGTTAATAAGCTGAGGACATGTGACGAATGGGATAAGAAGTGTACACATATACACTTACATAAAAACATTCAACGTTGATAAGTGAATAATTAACAAGGTCAAAGTGTGACTCAAGTAGAATGAATAGAATGGGCTGTCCGAAAGATAGAATAAGGTATAAGGGCTTAACATAAGAACTGACACTACAAACTCTGGAATTCAAGAATAATATCGAGAACATCCATATAGAAGAGGATGAAAGGATGGCAAGTTTTGACGTATCCACCTTATTTACTAATACACCTGTCAACAGAGCATCGGAAATATATTTATATAGGCTTCCTGTTGCTTCAAAGAAATGTTCATTGCGGTTTTCCCCTGTCGCCACTGATAAGTCTACTGACTGAACACTACATTTTATATCGTCGTCACCGATTGTTATGCCGGAATCGCTTATCATTTATATTTGTTAAACAAGAGACCATTGCAATTCCCACGACGCGAAAGTAAGAACACAAAAACTGATACAAGTGAAGATTTATTAGCCCCAAAACACAACAACAACGACGACGACGCTCATTTTTACCTTCATGTCATATTTCCCGCTTGGGGGGAAATTAAATGCTACTGGTTCGCTGTATCTTTTATTATGCTATTTTGTAACGCTTCCGAAAGACAAAGTTAGGCTGTATAAATACGTTTGATTTGTGCCTATTGTTATGGCTCGTGCTTCTGGCTGCTTTTGGAATATATCTCCCTTACCCGAAGTTGAACTTTTCTCTTTAGTTAGCGGGGCTGGGACGCTTCAGAATAGCTAGATTGTCTGTCATTATGTCACAGAATCTTTGTTCCGTTCTCAGATTAGGTGAACTTGTCGTCGCTTCAAATATAGCAAACAGTTAGTTGTTTTAGTTCATCACAAAAATGTAGATTTCACATTTATCTGAACAAACATGAATCTTTTATCGTTCAGTATTATTTACAGGAAGAAGTTAAAATAAGATAACTAACTGTTCTTTTAACAGTTTTTTTCAATGATTGGGATTGTCAGTCAATTGAAGCTAAACCATCATGGAAAACCCGGAATCACAGGACGGCCGTTTAGTTCTATTGCGGGACTCCTCAACAGTGCGCATCCATGGTCTCGCCTCACGGGATTCGAACCCAGGACCTATCAGTCTCACACGTGAGCTCTTAACTTCTAGACCACTGAGCCGGCCGGCATCCAGTGATGTTAATGCCTAACTTCATCCGATCCAAACGGGTCTATTGTGAGTTAGTAACTAACTGAAGACAATTGAGGATGTTTCGATCAATTTTATGGATTAGTTGAAGTTAGACACTAACACCATTGGATGCTGACCAGCTCAGTGGTCTAGAGGTTAAGTGATCACGTGCGAAACCAATAGGCCCCTGGGTTCAAATCTCACGAGGCGGGAATCAAGGATACGCACTGTTGAGGAGTTTCACAGTAGGACAAAACGGCCGTCCAGTGCTTCCAGGTTTTCCCATAGTGGTCTAGCATCAATTGACTCTTGATCTCAACCATTCAAATTACTATAATATCTTTTTACCAACAATTATTTGAATAACTTCTAAATCTTCATCAAGTTTATCCTGAATTATTGATTTTAGCTGAGGTATCATAGAAAACCAGAAAGCATTGAATAGCTTTTTTTCGCAGTATGAGATTCCTCATGACTGTACACTCCCGACCCTATCAGGATACGATAAGTGCTTAATTTGTAGATCGGCGGATTGTAATCTTAAGGTATGCAATTCTAAATTCAATAATTGCTTAATATAATGAGGTAATTATTCAATACTATTGATGCTGACTATTTTGCTTACGAGATGGTTAAATATTATAAACTGTATAAACATTCTAAAACTTAGCCGCTAACAGTGGAATCCAGGATGCGCGTTTCTTCCTATTTGGGACTCGTCAGCTGGATGTACCTGCACCTCAGAGTTGATGTTCACTCTCGGACTCGAACCCAGTACCACTTGCTTAAAACGTCATCACGTTATGCATTCAGCTACTGAGTCCTGATAGCCATTTGCTTGTGCAATGGAATGAATTTGAATTCACTTGGTATTGTTTGGCTTGTATCTTCCCATTCAAGTTTAAGACTGCAATTGATCAGTCTGTACTGGATTCCACTGCTAGCCACTATCCATCATTGCTTACAAATAGCTTGTGAATTAAGGCAATATCGAGGCATACGCACAGGGTGCACATATGCCAATAACAAACTGATCCATTTCTGTCATAAATAACAATGAGAAGATTCAAACAAACAATACCAAGCGAATTTAAACTTCACCCGATCGAACAAGCAGGTGGCTATCAGGACTCAGTAGCTAAGTGGATAACGTGATGGTATTTGAAGCGGACGGTACTGGGTTTGAGCCCCCGATTGAACATTAACTCTGAAATGCAGGTACATCCAGCTGACGAGTCCAAAAGAGGACGAAACGCGCGTCAGACTGGATTCCACTGCTAACCACTATCCATCATTGCTTACAAATAGCTTGTGAATTAAGGCAATATCGAGGCATACGCACAGCATGCACATATGCCAATAACAGACTGATCCATTGCTGTCTTAAACCTCAATGAGAAGATAAATGCCAAACAATATCAAGTGAATTCTAAAATTTATTATTATTGCCTCAAACAAAAGATGCACTAAGTTATATTTTGATAAATAAAATCAATAATCGATCACCAAAATCTCAATGGATGCATCAATCAATCAAACTGATCATAAATAAAAATTAACCATAATTGATTGAATAAGGAAAAAAAAAGTTTTTTTTTGGTTTTCGGAAAAACAATACGATTGATTTCAGTTGATCAGTAAAATAGATTTTGTTAACTATAATTTATGAATTGAGTTCAAGGAAGAATTAGGACGTCTCATGATGAAAGTTAAGATTCTTTGAAAGTCTCAAAATCGATATCCTTTCTGAAAACCAGAGCAACAATAGTTATAGGTACATGGAATATTCGGACAATGTTAGAAACTGGGAAAAGATCAGTTAAATAGTTACGCAAATTAGGAGATACAACTTGGCAGTAATTGGAAGTATGACATCATTCAATCTGTATGATATATTTTATAACCTAAAAAATAAACTCTTTCATTTAATTGCATTAATATGCATTGATCAACTCATTTCCAACTGTGAATCTATTCATACAATTGGGTCTATTAGAGTTCTATTCAAAAGAGTTTAAAAATATTTTCTCATCATGTTGAATAAAGCAATCGTGAATAGTTAGAATAGATTCATTAATCACATTTCTTAATCAAACATTTACAAACCAGAAAACCAAACGGACTTGAAATAGAATTAAACCTGGCTGCTAAACGTAGTATTTAAATCTCTCAATGAAAAGGA